TGGAAGCATTGTCTCATTAAACGCTTTTAACGAACTTCGCGAAAGCAATAAGCAAATAAACAAAAAAGCTACCCTTTTATTCCTGAGGGGTTAGAAAAAATTCAAAATCAGAGGCAATTTCCCTCACCATAAAAAACAACCACATAAATTGAAAGCAAAGCAAGAGTACTTAGCAAATTTAGAGCTCAAGTTTTTACCTTTTAACGAGACATTTTAGGCAAAATGCTATTTATAATTCAGCATTTGACCTAATGAAAAACAAACATTATATTACTTGTTTTTTTTTCTTTTCCTGAAAGCATTTTTTTTTCATTCACACGGCTGGTATAGGTTTTCAGAGTACCAAAAAATCATACTGAGAATTTTTTTGAAGTCTACATCAGCGCTAAAATACCCATGAAATTACATTTTTCTGAACCCTTCAAAGACTGCATGGTTTTCTTTGCTCTAACTAGGTTATAAACTCAATTTTACAAAAGGGTTCTCTTTAAGATTGGGGTTAAAAATTGAGAGCTAAGCAGTGAATTATACTGTCAGAACAAAGCCAATCTGAAATCGAAAGGCGTGAATTTATTTAGTCGACATCCTTACCCTACAAAACTAATAGATTGCTGACATTTCCTAAGCACAAATGTCAAAACTTCGCCTAGCTTCAACTTCCCAACTAGATTTCTTTCACTGCTAATTCACAACGAAGTCATAGTTGGCTGTTTATTTTGCTGATAATTTCAAGGGTTGATATTTTCAGCAAACTAATTTTCAGTCCTATTTTCAGCAAAGTTTACTCGAATGAACAACGTTAAATTTGTTTAAAAAAACAATTTCTCTATTGCGCAGTACTGAAAAATCGAAAATACTGCATAATTTTGCTATAAATTGTGTTAATTTGTCCCAAATTCGATCATTTTCAATCGAGTTTTAGTGCAAATTATTTTGACCGTTCATATGTAAAATCAACTTTAAGTATTATCATTTTAATGATCAAATTGTCATATTTTATCTCGAACTGTTGGGCTCGAAATTGCAGTTTGAGTTCATCTCGGCCCAAAATTCCCCCTTTTATTAATACGGTTCATTTAACTCTCGAATAAAAATCTTGATAACACGTGAACAAACATAAAAATTGTGCTTGTTGAGGTTTAATGATGTGTGCCTATAATATTTTTCTGCTTCCCATTTATTGGTGCCAAATGATAACGGACTCTTCTTGCGTTTTCATTTTGATAACGATTGTTCTTTTTTGATTAAAATTGTTTTGAAGTAGTAGCTATCATCACGGTTATTTTATTGTGTACCCGCGGAATTTAATCGTACCCTGAAAAAATTACAGACAACTGATTGCCAACATTTGTTATTTCTAATCAGAAGTTGAAATGGCCGCGCTTGTTGCTTCGAGTAGTTATTGCAAAAAAGTTATCCAATTGTTTTAAATTGGCTTTGAAAATGGGGAAAAAGAAAAAAGTTACAGGTCAAGAAAGGTACAGCTATGAAAGTGAGTATTTTTGACATTGTAAAATCTCTTGTTTTCGTTCTTGCTTTATGCCTTGATGCCATTAAAAAAAAGCTTTTCTTTAGTTAATTGAGCGGTTAAGTCAAAATTTATGAACGGCTCCGAAGTGACGACGTCTTACCTAAAAGCGAATCATTTACTATCTAAAGATTCATCTTTTACCATTTTGGTCAACCTACTCCGATAATTTTTTTCGCCGCTTTTTATGAACATATATTAAGCTTGCAGTTGTAAAACATGATTAGCGGAACAATTTCTTGGTCCAATTTTTAAATCAACAAACTGAGCAAAATAAATTGATTGAAAAACAAAATCAATGATTTTTGCATAATGTGTAATTAAACCACTGCCGCACTAAAAAAATTTTAAATCTAAATGGATCGAAAATTTTGGAGCCCGGAAATTTTTACGGGCTCCAAAATTTGTCTTTGTTCAATTTTGGAGCCCGAACAAATATTTACGAATATCAGTTTCTAAACTTGCGAAGTTCCAAGACTAACAGTGATTTTTTTTGCTGCGCTTGAATGAAAAATTACTCAAAAACCATTGTAATTTTGATATCATATACCATAGGAGCCGTATGAATTCTTCTCCTAAATGTTTTAGAAAATAAATTGCCGCAAAACTTAGAGGGAAAACTGTCGCCTATGATGCTAGAAAAAAATCAGCAGACCACTCGGTCTCAGGTTAACAAAATATTTTATTTGAGTCGATGAATCTAAAGAACATTCTATCTCAAACACACACACAAAGTTGTGATCGTCCAGCCCATTATTTTAATTGGATCCAAATTGCTTAGCGCTGCGTGTAAAAAACTCGATTATGACTAGCTGAAGTTTTCAATTAAGAATCAAATGAAAGTCCTTCCCCAAAAGTCCTTCAGAGGAGAGAATGTTAACATGATCCCAGACATTTAAACCCACAAAGACGACAACTCAATACAAGAGATTGAATGAATTGTTAAAGATATATAAAAAACAATACATGCTTGCAAAAATAAAATAACTGTTTGAGGATACTTTTCAAAAGTTGTTTTACGACATTCAGTCTGAAGTTTGAAAAAAAAAAACAATGGAAGAAGTGAAGACAATTTTTCAGGCAACGTTTTTTGTATTGTTTTCAGGCAAGTATTTTAAAATTTGGTTGCGCTCATGTTTGATCGTTGCGTTTTTTGTTCATCTTCATTTGCAAAAAAAGGTAGGCAAATCATGCTCTGCAATTATGCAAGGACAAAATGAATCAAAAAGATCGAAAAATTAAATTGTTTATTTTCCCAGCGTTGAAACAAATCTTGAAATTAAAAAAAGCTTTATTGAGAAACAATTTTTCAATTTTTCTTCAAACAACGAAAATTTTTCAACCAAAGCAAATATTTTTTCAGCTTTTGTGGAAAATGACGAATGCTTACGCAAACAATTATTTACTGCTACAGAACAATATGTTATAAAAAGAACAGAACTAAAAACGCCTTCTGTTCATTCAAAATTAACTCGATCAAAAACTCTTTCGAGAATCTCAGAGTCTTAGAACTTAATGCTCTATTATTTCAAAATTGTCGAGTAAATTGTAGACTAAGATGTTCGTTCCTCTTGCTGCTCAAACCGCATCGAAATAGAGTGTGATCGTGTTTTTTTCTGATTTAAAAGTATTTGAAAAGAACGTCAAACGAACTAAAGCGATTTATCAGACTGAAGTCTTTTCAGCTTTGGAATAAAAAAAAATTTTTTCCAAAAGTTTTAGTGTCGAAAAAATAATTTTTTGAAAAATTTTTTTTCTTTCTGATTTCATATAGCTGTCAATTTAGTACTGCCACAATACAAATCTCGCTCTAAGCAAGCACGTAGACAAAAAATTTTGCATTGGTGACCTATTTTGTTCGTAAATCATTTTTTGGCTCGGTTCCATTCTCCCTCTCTCACTAAAACAAGTTTGATAGAAACTGGTTATTTTCTAAATCTTCTCTCAAGATACAACTCTGTTCGCCCAAGCCATTAACTATTCGTGTTCTATTTTTAGCTCGTTACTTCTAATTTCCAATGCCATTATTTCATTTTGAACAACGTGAGCCGCAAAAATGTATCCTTGATTTATATAAAATTTTTAAAATCAATCTACAAAAAAATCTACGATGCGCAGAGGCTAAATTTTTTCAAAAGAAAATGTAACCTATACCTTTCTGTCTTCGATGTATTAAAGACAAAAAAAGTACCTGAAAATGAAAACGACTGCTTCAAAGAATCTCTTTTTAGCCTTTTTCTGTTCTGGTACACTTTGATCTCCAATTTAAGTAGCATTTAAGTTCCATTTCCAACAATTTTTACTATCCTTTCCAACCCCACAATCATAGAAGAAAACGCAGTCAGCCTAATCATCATTAGATTGTTTGATGTGTTATACCTTTTTACTGAATTCACATCATCTATTGTATCAATAAATCAATTTAATATACAGTATATAACTTTTGAAAGCTCATTTTGACTATTTCTAATTTTTTTTTTTGCTAATAATGAGATTGCCAGTGTTTTGTATTAGGTTGATCAAAGTCTGCGTTTTTCTTCTAATTGACCGTAGGCTAATCACTCTTCGTCGTAAATTGAAATGGGACCAGGTGAGACTGCTATAAAATAGTAGCCCTAAGGTGCATTTCATATTTAACCCATACTTTTATACCAAAACACATTCATACACATACAAGATACCATTCTTACAACAATCTCGCTTTTAAAAAACCCAAATCAAATTTTTTTTTTCATGTCATAACTTGATTTTAGAAAAATTAGCAATATTAGTCATATTTTCTTATGTTTTAGTCACTGAGATATGAATTAAACGTCTTAAAACATTTTTGCAAGAATTAAACCTTAAAATCAAAATGTTAGTAACAGTAAAATTTCAATACTAGTAACTTTTCTCGAAATGAAACTATGTTCAATTGAATTCCGCTTCACCAAACTCGCTCTTCATATTTAAAATTTTATTATTTTCGTTATAAGCGGGAAAAAGTTTGCTTCGATTGCAGAAATGTCGAGTCACATCAATCATCCTCATTATCACTACTCGGGTAAATTCAGTGTTATTAATTTGTCCATTGAAAAAACTAACTCTTTTAATAAAGCTCTTTTTTATTATTGATAAATTATAATATGGGCTAAAACATCTCTTTTTTCCGTGTTGAATATTAGATTACGTTTTGATGTTTGCAAACTTTCAATTAATGATTCCATTGCAATATTTTGATCATGTATGTATCTGTAAAACTTGATGGTTTTTTATTGTAATTAGAATCAACACAACGTTGATTTTTCATGGTAAAATAAACCTCGCATTATCCTAATAGTTTTTTAAACGCAAAAAATGTGATTTATTTGTATTCAAATATCTTAAATATTTGTTGACATAACACTCTCGTCGCAATTTTTATAACAGTTTAAAAATTAATAGTAATTAAAAGTAAATAAATATTTTCATTTTTTGTTTAATTTCTGTGCAGAACAAGCGCCCCCCGAGGACGTGCAGCTGAAGATGGTGAGTGTGACTGCCACCTACTACCCTGGGGGGTCAAGGTCAACCCAGGTCATCGCCTCAGGAGAGGAACTGACCCTCGAATGCTCCTCCGACGGATTCCCATGTAAGCACGACAGTCGCATTTTTGGGAGGTTGGCTAACAAGCCGAAGGGCCAACAAGCAGAAAATAAGATAACATTCCAATAAGCCGACAATTGATACTTTATGCAACATGACAGCAGGTATTTGCTGCCGCTAAGCAATTTTTACGTCATTCTGATATAATTTCGACTTGAAGATTTGGCGGTTTGTTGAACAGCCGGCTATTTTTGGTCCTTTTCCGTAGTTACGATCCTCTATTTTGTCATGAAATTTCTGCATTTTTAAAGACGATTTATCCACAATGGAAAGGGAGCAACATACGAGCTGTTCATTTCATTACGGAGAACCGATGTTGAGTCCGTTTAAGATCTAGATGCATTAGATTGGTTATTTTTCTGGGCTGGGTAATTTTATTCAGTACTATTTATATTATATCTAAATAGTCAATGCAGGTTTCGAGAAAGTTTTTTCTGTATAGAGATGAGCAGTCGTCGTCACAACCCGGCCTACTATTTTTACCGATTGAGTTTTACGTTAAAGTTGCACAATTGATTTGAAAATAGTAATTACTCAATTCCAAACACATTTAGTCTCAATCTACAACCTTGTGAAGTTGTGGGTTCACCAAAATATCTATCTTTGTCGTTGGGGGGGAAACTGTAAAAGAAATTACTTTTAGGCTCCTTTTAAATATCCCCGTCCCGATTTGTTTGAAAAGGACGTGGGTTCCTTACTAGGTACGGTATCCGCAAATGCTAAACAGTCGGAGTTAGTCCTTTACACCGCGCCACGGATGTTTATTTGCAGTTTTGTCTGATTTCTGGAGTATCATTGCAAAAATATCTTTGAAATCTTCAACTGAATCCTTGTCTGGAACCAAGGATAAAATTAAACTTTAAAAAATCTGAGAAAACTATCCGCCGTAACCAGCTATCAAAAAATATGCGGCTTCTACTAGTGTCTAGAGCCAAGATCAAGCTGGAACCAAAATCAAACTGGAACCAAACGGCTTCAAAAATCCTGAAAAAAGTTACCAGCCGTAACCAGCTATAGATTGTGAGGTGATTGGAATAAGCGTCTAGAACCGAGGTCAAGCTGGAACCAAAATGCTTTGAAAAAACCAGAGAAATTACGCTCCGTGACGAGTCGGTTTATTATTTGATCTAACTGTAACGGGTTATGGTTAGTTTTATGAATAATTTCACACCTTGCTGTGACGTTTTTATTCAATACAGCGGAAAAAATCCCAAAAAAAAATTTCTACCAATATTTTAACAGTAGCTCCAAACAATTGTTGGATCAGGGGTATTTAATGAGAAGACTTCGATTTAATTTAAAGTTTTCGAACTATGACTTCTTAACTATTATGTTTCATAAAATCTCATGAGGTAGAATAGAAAAAAAACATCTAACAAAATTTTTTGGTTTCAAGGGTTTCACGATTGCTCTGAAACACAAAACCCAGGTTTTCTTTTTTTTAGACTATATATTAACAGATCTTTCTGGATTCTGAGATGATTGTTCTGACTTTCTAAAAGCTTTAACGGCAGAAAATTTATCCAGACAAACTTTGGCGATCGAAATCATAATTTTCCTCAAAACAATTTTATACCCAAATGAAGATATTGACACCTTGAGTTTTAAAGTTTTAGTGCAGCCTTTTTAAGATTAGAGCAGCTTCAGAATAAATTTTACTCCAAACAGTTTTTATTTTTCAATTTTGTCTTCTTTTTATATCAATAATGAAGGCACTAAACCTGGAAAATATATTATTTGAACACAATTTTGTAATATCCTTACGAAAAACGAAAAGTTCCAGAAAATAGTTTTTTTACGATTGAGTCTCTCTCCCAACAAAGCAAAATTGCACAAAATAAAAATTTTCTGAAATTAAAATTTTAAAACAAACAGTAGAATATAAAAAATGCACTGAATTTTTTTTAATGGATTTGTTTGATTATTTGAATAAAAAACTCAATTTTTTTCCGGAAAAACTGCGTGCAGCATTTTATACATGAAAAAGAAGTAATATTTCAAATCTTCGAAGTTCAAATGCTTTGCACAAAGCGTTATGTTTGTTCAAAAATGACAATTGGGTCAATCTTAGCCAAATACTTTGGAATTTGTGACAAGTTTGGTTAAATACGATAAAATGATAACTAAATTTATTTTAGCTACTTAAAACTTGTTTAGTTTTTGTTTCAACTATTAATCTATATACAATTCCGTGATCGTAAAATTAAATTTTGAACCTAAAACTATTTAAAAAAATTAGTTAACTTCCATATTTTCATATAACAAACGTTACACTCGTTACATATGTTTTTGTTCGAAATTAAACTAAAAATAAAAAAAATTTAAACTGACTTTTCTCGATATTTTTTTGGAAAATTTCAGGGTCGTTCAAATCATGACTGAAAGAGCGTTAATAAAATGTACCACCCAAATTTTTCCGATAATTATTTGTGGTAGCTCATTTTCGTGGAAAAAAAACTAAAACAGACCCAAAGACAAAGTTCCTCCCGATTTTCAATAGTCGGAACAATAATCCTTAAAGCTGTCTTTAAGCAGCAACAACATTTAGTTTTAAATTTGATGAAATCGGAGGCATCTTTGATCAATCAATTCGACTTGAAAAAAAAATTTTGAAAAAGACTTTTTATAAATTTTTACAGATTTTTGATCAATCAATCCGATTTGAAAAAAAAATCTTCAAAAAGACTTGTTATAAAATCGGGAAAAACTGCTGAAAACAAGTTTTTTTTTTTCTGGATGCTTCAGAATAAAGTTCTTTGAATGAAACGCTCTGTTTGATTGACCAGAAAGGGAATCTTACATTTCAAGCATTGTTCTTCAAATAAATTGTTTAATTCTCTTCACCGAACCATTTTTTGGACTTTAATTTGATTTAAGCAAGCTTACTCACATTAACTACAAATTTAATTCACACGCTTTTTGTTTCGGGCAGTTTTAAATTTGCAACAGATGTATTGAAAAAACGACTCCGAAAAATGAGCCAGCAAGCAATTAAAACAATAAAACAATAAACTTGATCATATGCAGGGGCTGATTTAGGGAGGGGGCGGACGCGCTTCCTCAGGGATTCGACCCCCTGCCGACCCAAAGGGTCCCCCCTTTGTACTGTTTTCCAATATACATTTTTGGTGATGGACCCTATAAGTTTTCTAGAGGCGCCTTTGGCGCCTATATCTGCAAGTTTTGAGGGGGAGCGCGCGCCGAAAAAACGCGAATTTTTGGTCAAAGTTTTCCAAAAATTGCTTAAAAACGCCTTTCTTGGCGTATTTTTCAAAATTTTGCAGCGGCGCAGAAAATTTGGCCAAAATAGGGACAGAACTGCTTTGCGAGAGTTCAAAAATCAATATGGTCGACCTAAAAAGGGGTCGACAAAAATTTTGAAAGTTTTTTGGAAATCCGCCCCCCCCCCCCCCCTCGAGAAAATCCTAGATCTGCCCCTGATCATATGCAATAATTCTACCTTAAGATAAATTTGAAATTTTGTTGAATCAGAAGTACAGAATTTAAACCTTACTCATTTTTTCGTAGCTTATAAGTCAAACAATCTAGACTGTTGGCTAACTCTTAATCATTGGAGCATCAGATTGCAGCTTGGCAACATGTCAGCTCAGCGCTAAAGTTTCAGTTTTTGTCTTTTTAAGTAGAGAAGCAATGCTCAAAATTTTCGTTTAAATTGCTTGTTTTCTCTTTTTGTGGTCCCGAAATCAAGGTACACCTAGTTTACTTTATACACAACCGCTTAAAAACATTGAATCTTCAAGATTTGAAAAATAAAGCAACTTCAAATCAGATGCTAAACAGCAAAAAAAAATTCAACTTTAACTTGTTTTGTTTTACGTTTACATCATATGAAAAAACGTCAGTTTTCGGATGCTATCTGGTGCTAATTATTACTATTTCCGTCGAGAAATTTGACCAGCACACAGCCATTGTCGAAGTAGATGCTAGTTTTGAGTTAGCAAGCAACTGTTGAGCAAGTTTGAGCCTCAATTCGGAAAAATAACTGCCTTTGCAAGCAGTTCGCGTGCCTCGTCCTGGCGGTCGATTCTTACGGACTAAATCGGGCTATCAAAATCTTCAGTTTGATGTACTGATTCTGTCCTCAGATAATATTTTGTAGCTACCAGATGCAAATTAAAAAGCTATTTTTAACTTGAGGGTTTTTTCAGCTGTTGTATCTCACAAAAAAGTGTCATCGTTCCGACGTGAGTGAATTTTCAAGCCCTGCAGATTTTAAAAAATCAAACTTAGATTTAAAAATCATCTCACATTCAAACAGAAAACTAAATTTTATTCATCATTTTCATTCAGCTTTAGACTAAGATAATCGTTAGCGAACCATTTCTCGACATCCTAAACAAATCAGGTAAATCTTGATTGACCATTTCAGTGAATTGCGTCTGATACTCAAATTTATTTCAATAAAAAAATTTTATATACCATGACAGACAGGGGCGGATCTAGAATTTTCGCAAGAGGGGAGGGCGGATTTTCAAAATTTTTTTGAGCGTTTTGTCAACTATTTTACGTCGACCAACATGAATTTCATAGCTCTCCTAAATCACTATAAGAACCCTATTTTGAACAATTTTCCTTTTTGAAATAAAAACCGTTTTTGGCCTATATTTGGAAAATTTTGACCAATTTCGGCGCGCGCTCCTCTTCAAAATTAGTATATTTTGGCGCCGAAAGTGTCTTAAGAAAATTTTTAGGGTTATTCGGCGCGGAAAATGGACGTCATGAAATAATACCAAAGGGGGGAAATAGTACCCTTTGGTTGGTAATGGGTTCGAATCCCGAAACCCAACCCCACCACCCGCCACCCTACATAAAACCGCCCCTGATGACGGATGATTATCTCTCAACCGCAAACGATATTTTTACCTTCATTTTTGGAGTAATTCGAAACGCCTGTACTAATTGTTTTCAAAACATTAATTGAAAAACGCAAACGCTGAAAGAAAAACATGGAAGTACCTTAGAAATTTCACCTTAAAATTTGTTCGCTCAGTTTGAGCTTTTTATTTCAGCCCCATGGTCAAATTCATGTCACCTCCCAGTAGCAATTGTTTGGATTTAAAACCGAACTTTCTTTTAGGGGCTTTTTACTTATTCCGCCCCATTTAAACTCGGCAGGCAATCATTTTTTTAGAAACGCGATGTTTAAACTATATTTTGATTGGGAAATAATTTGCTTTCAACATAGAGCAGATGCATTTATATTTTCACATATGTTTTCATATTTCATAATTTAAAATTTGACAGTTAGAGCGGAATAAGAAAGGCCCTTGTTATGAGACACTTTGTTCTCGTGGTGGAATTTTGAACTGTTTCAGCCCCCATGATCAAATTCATGCTGGACGGCAATGACATAGAACTCGGTTGGGTGCGCATCATCGACGACACCCGCACGAGTGAGGGCAAATACCTGAAGAGGTCAATCAAGATCACAGACATTGACCTGAAGAAGCCCGAGCTGACGTGGAAGTGTCAAGCGAACAACATGAAGGGCTACGACGTCTCAGACGAGCTCCATACGTCCTATCAATGTAAGTCCAATGCAAATTGGGGTGGGGGGCTGTTTTCATGACAAAAACACCCAATGCGAATCCATGGGAAACTAATCCCTTTGTGGCAGGATGGTCGAATGACAGATAATGTTATTAGCCAATCAGAATCTGGTTTGAACCGAAAAGTTTAAGGAAGCATAGTGTGAAAATCAGTCATTTTGGGAGGGTTTAAAGAATTTTGATTGGTTGCAAGTTTTGCGCCATTTGGACATTTTATGTCATTTTAATAGCCTCCCTTGTTTTTGTACAACGAAGTGATTCCTCATTGTAACTGCAATTTCTCATGTTGGTGCGAACCTTATTTAAATAACTATATCAAATCCAAATCGACCAAGCCAAGTATTTTCGTCCTTTTGTTTTAGTCGGAAAAAATAGCTCAGCTTTTATGTGTACTAGTCATCAAATTTTGATTGGCTGAAAAAAAGTAATTTTTTTTTTAATTATTCCCAAATCGGTTTGAGAAGTAAGGTAGCATAATCATTAATGGATAATCGTTAGCTGGAGCTGAATTGTATAATAAATCCCTGCACATAGAGCAATACTCATTTCAATCAAAATTTGAGCAAAAAGTCCAAATGAGCAACCTAAATTCATGTTTTGATTGAAGAATTTTCTAGAGGAAAATAGGCTTGAATGATCTAGAAAGCTATTTTCTTGTATGGCTAAGTCTGAAGAATGCAAAAAAAAACGTTGCCAGCCTGGAAAAAGGCTGATGAATTTTTTAAAACTGGCCTCTCACTCATCGAAATTTAGATCCGCTTTTTGGATGATGAAGGATTATTGTTATTGATACTGAATCAACTTATTTATGACTTTCATTGTTGCTATATTGTTTCATTAACTTAAAATTATAATTAACCCAACGTTTTGGCGAGAATAAATAAAGATGCAACCTTCTCTTTTTGTTACAATCGAAAAAAACTTTGGAGCTTTGTTTTGTACGCAGTCTTATTTGTATCCGACTTCTGAGCCATGTTCTGAACTTTAATACTTTTCATTTTTGGATAATCTATTGCAATTAGTTTTAAGATAACTTTAATTGGCAAAGAGACTTGCAAAAAATTGGAAGCGACAGAATTGATTAAAGAGCAAATGTCAAGACAAAAGCAAAAACTAAAAAAGAAACAAACATAAAATCGAAAGTTCACCTAGCAGAAATTTTCGCTGAAAATTTGTAGCCACGTCCTTCAATCACATTTTGAAGTCGACGACGAGGAACACTAAGGGCAAGATTTTGTGCGTAATTTTTGGGCAAACAATCAAATGTCGCGAACTTTTTGGATGGCTTCTTCGGGAGTTTTTGGCGGATCCAAAGCCAACTGTTTTTTGATCTTTCCCCCAAACATTTTCGATCGGGTTGGTTTTCGGGTTAAAACGGGCCATTTGAGAAGAGGAATACTGTTTTCTCGTAAATAATTTTTCAACACAATTGCAGATTGCAAATCGTGAGACTGGAAATTTATTGCTTAGAGCGGCCAAAATTTTTTGTAGACTAACATTTGGCTGTCTTCAATAGTGTCCGTTTTTTGGGCTACCTAAAGTTTTCTCTTTTTTGAGTATAACTAATGTCTGATAAACGTCGTTGTAAGACGACACGATAAACTGTCGATTTGGCTTTTTTTACAGTTTTCGTTAAATCGTTTATGGTAACATGAGGATTTTTGTCGAAATATTTGAAAATTAGTCTTGCATAACCGTCGGATAATCGACAACCTCACATTTCAAGTTTTGCCCGGTGAGGTTTTCAAGGTAGTCTGAATTCAACTTTTGCAAGGAAAAAGTCGTTGAAATCAGTTGATAGCTCTTTTTAATTATTTCTGTCTGTTCCAATTTTTTGCTACTTATTATAGCGAAAAATTGGAACAGACAGAAATAATTATAAACGCAATTTGCCATTTTTGGGGAATTTTTGCTTGCACATTTGAGTTTTTAAGTGACCTTGAGTCATATTTTGTGTCAGAAAAATTAGCTTTTGTGCAAAATTTTTTTTTGAGTCATTTGCTCTTTTTAATTAATTCTGTCTATTCCAACTTTTTGCGACTATGTATACATAGATGGTGGGGAAAATGTGGCTAATCTTCAAAAGAATTTGCCTAAATCAAGGTAAAATCGTGACCAACTTCAGAATACGTCAAACTCTGTCGTCGACTCGGTACTATCGGACAACTTAATTGAAGACTCGGATATATTCAAAACTGTATGTAGTCGACTGGACTCCTTCCATTTAGTCGCAAAGAGTTTACTCGGGGTTTCAAATGACCACAAACAATTTCATCAGTTCCTTGTTCTGAAATTGTTGAATTTAATTCCCAAAGTGTGGGCAAAAAGGCATGATCTATGAGCTTATTTTGCAAGAAAAACTCAAAACCAAAATGCATAAAACAGTTGGTTTTTTTTCTTCAAAATTTGGGCAAACATTCTGTAAAACAACATAGAACTCGTTTGGGCTGTCTTTATTTTCCTTAATCTATGAATAATTTCCAAAAACTATTTAAGCAGACAAAAAGAAATTTAGATGAAGTGTACCTTAACCAAGATGTACAAAGTGTTGCAAGTTTTCGTGTTTTCATGTTCACTAACTTTTCGTTTAGTCCAATGATTTTCTATTGACCACCCATTAATCAAAAACTAAACATGGTTTTCAAAAAACTAATTTTTTTCTCAATTTTGAATTCTCTCAGTTTAATCATTGTGGTCGAAGCATTCTGTGCTATATGCTCACCAACTGTTTATCATTGTTGTTCTTATATTTTGGTAGTATTTCTCTAATATAGTAAGTTTTTGACAAAGTTCTCATTTAAATTTTTGGATGTAAGCCCGAAAACTTAGATGAAATTGTCCAACAATTTTATGGATTGTTCATACACTTATTTGTGGTGATAAGTTGACCTTGTTTGTTATTTTAAATCTATGCAATCTTAATGTATGATTTCCGTTATTTTGGGCTTTTGAAAAAATTATATCGTAAATTGCATTTACAAAAAAATTGTCCTGCTTTTTATTCTGACAAAGTCAATTGGTAATTTTTGAAACTAGATTGAGCTGAACTTGAAAGTTTGATGTTTTATTATGCGTTTTTAACTTTTTTTTATCCGACTTTCGTAACGAAAGTAACGGAATATTTCTGCTCGGGGTGGGTTTTTTTTCAGTCAAATTTCGAATCATTAAATAGCCATTCTGATGGGATTTGTTATATCATTCAAACCATATTGTTGTCTTGAGCTTAACTTTGAAAAAATATTTCGCCTGCGGTCATTTTTCGTTAAATTATGGGGGTTTAAAGATTGCCATTTTGGCCAATTTGAGACAATTAAATTGGTTGAAGGAAGTTTATTTACCATAATTGGCTAATAAACAGGAGCGAAATTTATCCTTTTGAATTTTGTATGGCGTGTGGGGGGATGATTTTCACAAAAAATCTCAAAATAAATTCGTTTTCTTATAACATTTAATTTTTTCATTTTATTACTGCTCCATAGACCTCCGAAGGCAATCAAAACACTCAGGTCTTCGCCCTGATACGATAACATTGTTATTATTTTGAGTTGAGGTAAGTTTGAAGCCTTCTAAAGCTTATTTCGGCACTTGATGAAAAATTTCATTGGCGCTGTTGAACAAAGTTTTTAAATTCATACTATTGTAGTAAGGAGGTGTGCTTGAATCAGTGCTGCTACTTTTTTAAACTTATTATCACTCAATTAAATTGTATCACCAACAGAAACGTAGGACGGCTTTACCAGAAAAGGATTGAATTATCAAACAAAATTAGATAAACTTTTTTAAGATGAATTTTTTCAAAATAAATTTCAAATTGGCAGAATTTTCTTGATCAAAAAACTTGACTGTAATAATTCAATGTCGGAAATTGATTAATTGGATCTTTTTGAGGTTGATTATACAATTGCCTGAAATGACTGGAGATCATTCCAAGATGAAATTTAACTCTGTCTCGATCATAACTTTTAGAGTATTTCATTCGTTTATCGTCAAAACGGTGACGGCTCGACTAGCTTGAAAAACTAACTTCTTGCATGATTTTCAGAGTTTGATTTTTCAGAAAAACAATACAGCAGTCATAATCCGTTCAAAATGAAACTTGCATTTCTGAGAACTATAAAACTGATTATTGTGATTTCAGGCAATCAACAAGCAAATGAAATTCCTGAAAACCTTAATCGCAATCAGTCACATTTCGACCTATAATGGTTTGAACCATTCGCTGATGGCCCTTCAAAATGTGAAATAAGTGAAAAACAACTTTTCATACTATCTCTTTTGTAAACTATTTTGATTTTTATATCAAATGCATTTTGTGTTTCAACTTTTTGTTCTAGATGATACGATTTTCACTTATAAATTTTTATGCTAGTCGGTCAAACTTTTTTAGTCTATTAACCGCTTGTCAAAAAATATGTAACGAAGTGGATCCGACTTAAAATCAGCGTTTGTTTTTGCTGATAATCCGAAAATTTTTGTTAAATGACTTATTGTTGAGCATTTTGAACATGTTGAACAACAAATGATGAAAAACGTGAGAAAATTTTCAACACAAAAATTCGATTATTACAGACAAATTCAGGATAGTAATATAAAGCACTTAAAAGCTAGGCAATTTATTCAAACTCATCATAAAACAAAACGTCTACATTTTCTTACTTTTTTACTTTCTTCCCACATTAGTTTTACAACAATGAGCTCGATTGCGTACTTCTATTTAATTGATATTTTGCGACTCTAGATATCAGTCCTTGCAAACTGGTCAAAAAACGAGTATTTTTCTTAAACGCCTTTAAATTTTGAGTCGCAAAATGAATTTGTAGTCATTTTATCCCAAACTGGTATAAAAAAGTGATATATTTTTGCATACTTTCTTCAACAATTTTAGCTTCAAACTTTTGCCCAATAGCACAATTTTCATTCAAAAATTGAAAGGCAAAATTAAACAATAAAGTCAATATGCAATATGCAAAGTGCTGAAT